GCTCCGCTGCGGGCGGGCCCGGGCCCCGCGGTCGGGGCTGCGGCGTTTCGGGAGCGCCCACCCGTTACTGGGAATCTCTGGGTGGGCGCTCTCGGGGCTCGGCGGGGCTCTAGGCGCTGGCACTTTGCCTTCGTTTTTCTGTTTACTTTCCTACAAAATTGGAAATACCTCTGGCAGCTTCCGCTGCTGATCATCTGGTAGGTCAGTAAAAAGCAGTTTCTACAGGAGGTGTCAGATTTAACCAGTGTTTCTGGCTGGCAGCAGTATCAGTTTCTGACTTTTGAGTCTGATGGAGGGATGTGGTTCCATAACCTAGAAGTTTTATTTGGATGTAGCGTGGTGTGCTGGCTGGCAGTGTATGTGGATAGCGTGTTAGCGACAAGAAGTTAGTCTGGTTTTTTTTGTTTGTGTCCAGATTTCAGTGTACTTGGTTTGCAAGAGTTCCTGTCCTATATATCTTTGTATATTCAATCGAAGCTGTTAAAATACTAACCTTTAAACCTGGAAACTTTCTTGACATTTGGACTTGGGAACACACAGAGGAAGGTGTGATTAGTTACAAGAAAAGGGGGCGGTTTCCTGTTGACCAGTATTTTTTTGCCCTGTGTAAGCTGTGTTTAACTTATGAAATGCTAATAGTTTACTTTGTTTTTTTCAGTAGAGAAATGTGATCATAATAGTGTGTTTTGACCAGTTTTGTGCATGAGGTAGAAAATCATTTGCAAGATTGCCAGATGCTGTGACAACGTAAAGTAGAAGTTGCCTTGTGAAAATTTAGTTAGTGATTGAAATGTTGGAGATAAAATCATATGCAAGTGCAGTTGCAGAAGTTGAGAGCTCTGAGGTCAGGCCTTTGCTTTGTTTAAAAGCAGTTTGTAGGGCTGCAGTATGAGACACTTCATACTAAGAAATAGCTAATGTGGGAAAGGAGGTTACAACTCTGGTTTTTAATTCATACTACAGTGTCTTGGAAAAGGCAGCTCTAATGCTTTTTATTTGAAAACTTCTGGGCTCCTGGTAGTGAAACTAAAGGCTGAGACAAATTGCATTTAAGATGAAGTTACATGAGAACAGCTAGATAAAACTTAACTAAGCAGATACTTTGTATGAGAACTATGAATCTATCTATTGAAAGTTCTGCAGAATATGGGAAGAGGAGACACCTTTTGGTTTCAAATACAGCTTTACAATTTTTTTCGAAAAGTACTGCTTTTCTTTTTTGACAGAGCAGTCTATTTAATTAGTACTGCCTTGCTGAGAAGGATGAATACACCTGTGGGGACAACTGTATCCTGCATGTACAGGAGACTTTTGAAAGGGTACTAATCTATATTGCACATAGTCTATTGACAAATGGTAAATCTGGACCAACATTTGACTCTCCTGCTGCTCTTAAAGCAGTAGGTAAGCTTCAGTTACCTGTACAATGGGGAAAACTTCAGTGTTGCTTAAGCACTTTTTCCTGTGTAAAGGGAAAAGACAGACAGCAGTAAGCTGCTTTGGGTTTTGTTGAGGTCAGGGAAATTCTCTTGCTTCATGGCTCTGGACAAGTTAAAGATGCAACAAGTGCCAACTTCCCTGAGAATAAGTAGGGAGATTAGTCACAAGTTAAAGGAGATTGAATCATATTTGGCTGTTTTCCCTCTTTCCACCCTCTACAGTTTAAGTGTTGTCTAGACATAAACTAAACAGGCAGAACTGTGTTGGTCAGCTTAGCTCTTTAGCATCTCTTAAGCTCTTTTTCAGATAAAAAGCAATAAGAGTTGCAGTGCTGTTTGACATACATAAATAAGCAGAACTTGCTTAAAAAGTCTTAGGTAATTGTAATC